AGCCATGGCTCTGGCTGTGAAAAAATCTACAACAGACTTGGGTTTCGAAAGGTTTTGTGCAAGATGGGTATGGAAACAACTCACCGAAGAGCACAAACAGCAGCATTTGGATATACAAACAAAATTTGGACTGATACTCTAAAGAAGGTTAAAGTTTCTTTTAAAAAATCGTTACTGGTGACAAGACATGGATTCATCACTATAAGCCTGAGAATAAATGGCAGAGTATGAAATGGAAACATCCTCAATTGCAGACTAAGAAAATGTTCAAACGTTCAAAAGTCAATCATCATTTGGAAAATTGATGCTTAAGGTTTTCTGTGACTCTCAAGGGCCAGTATTCTCAATGAACACAATCAGGAAAAAGGTCCAACAATCAACAGTGCTTGTTACAATGAGATGCTCACTGAAGAGCAGAAGCCTAAACTTCAGATTTAACTGAGAGGACTGCTATCCAAGGGTGCTGGGATCTTGCATGACAATGCACGTCAACACACCGCTGTTCATACTGTTGACACTCAGAAAAAACTTCTTGTTCTAAGGTGTTAAAGCATCCTATTGACCTTTCACCTGTTTGATTCCCTGACAGAAGTCCGTCAAGGACACAGATTCACCTTTGATGGAGAAGTGAAGACAGCAGAACAATTCAATGGTTGCAGCCCGGCCGGAAACATTTTAAATAAGGGAATACAAAAGCTTGTTGACAGGCAGACAAAGTGTACTGAGAAGAAAGGATAGTATATAAAAAAAAATCATGGTTTTGTTTTTCCTAAAACTTGATTACAATAAATTCTACAGCCAAAAAAAAAAATGTACATGGACTGCCAAAAGAACAAACCATTTGTGCTTGAAGAAGTATAGCCAGAATGCTCCTTAGAAGGCAGGATGGCCAGACCTTGTCTTTCACATTTCAGACATATTATCAGGAGTAACCAGTCCCTGAAGAAGACCATCATGCTTGGTAAACTGGAGCACCATAAAAAACAGGAAGACCCCTGACGAGATGAATTGACAGAGTGGAAGCAGCAATAGGATCAAGCGTACAGGATTGTGAGGTTGCCATCGGATCAGGCAGTGCTGTGCTCAGTTGTCCATAAGGGTAAATATGAGTTGGTAACAACTTGACAAGCCCTAACAACAACAACAACATACTATCAATTCTCTGCTGGTTTCTTCACTGTTGTGTGGCAGTCACTAACTTCGTCCCTATCCAACATTTGATAAGCCTCATCTCCAGCCTGCTCACTCTCCCAGCCTACTGTGACTGAGAGCTATGTCACGCCTCAACTCTCCTCACCCATCTGTTGTGATAGCTCCAGATTTTGCCAGATATAAAGTTTGACAAGTATACATGCTTATCCATATGCTGGAGAATCTTGAACCATTAATTCCCACCTGTCCTTCCTTATGTTTTTCCTTTTCGATACTCATAATTTTCATAATCCAAAAACTCTGATAGCTGGACTACAAACTCACACTACAATTCAAATGCACATATTCTCTTCACTATCAACTGTTTTAACTGTTAATATTCATGGTGGCACTGTAGGATAAGCACAGGACTGCAAGGTCTGTATGAACCAAAAGATCAGTGTTTCAAACTCATCAGTCACTCCTCGGGAATCCTCTACTGGATCGCTATCAATTGGAACCCACTTGATGGCACTTAAAAACAACAACATTCATTACTTATACCTTTTTTGTTGCATTTTGAAAACTTTGACACCTCAATTCAAACTATTCTATTAAAAGTCATTCTAGCATTTCATTCTTATTTAACCTTAAAATTTACAATTGTCAGTTGTAATAAAATTATCCTTAAACATTTCTTCCTTTATGCTAAAATATGTCATCACCTTAAAAGGGCATAAAATGTAAAAAAGAAAGATATTTAAGAAAATAAATATAATGCAAGACAAAGTTGGCAGAAAACAAATAAATATAGTACACAAAATTAAAAAAAATAATTATCAAAGGGCATTACAAATAATGTCTTTGCTACCATTCCTAAATACTTACTGACAAAGATCAAAGACCACACAGCCATTGGTATGGGCTGCATCTCAGTGTAAAGAAAACAAAAGTCCTCACCACTGGACCAGTAAACAACATCCATATAAATGAAGAAAAGACTAAAGCTGTCAAAGACTTCACTTTACTTCGATCACCCATCAGCACTCAAGAAATCCAAAGACATACAGCATTAGGCAAATCTGTTGCACAAGACCTCTTTAAAGTGGTGAAGAGCAAAGACACCATTTGAGGACCAAGGTTCACCCAATCCAAGCCATGATATTTTCAATAACCTCATATGCACGCAAAAGTTGGACAGTGAATAAGGA